TGAATCATCAACCAGAGAAGACTACAGCCTGTTTAAAAGGAAAAGAGAACAAGCCTTCAGTTTTGTCCACGCTGCATTCATTCTGACTCAAGCAGAAGTGTTTTACTTTTAACCCAAGTTGATGCTGGCCTGGCCTTATTTGATTTTTATCTGTCTCTGATTTTTATCTTGATATACAAGTTGTTGGGATTGTGCATGTTACAGATCAGGAGATGAACTGACTTCTGCTCCCAACTCTGACATCACTGGAATTCTTTCTCTGAATGAGTCCAGAAGAAGTGTCAGGGTAGGGAAAAAATAACAATGCAGAAAGCAGTTTTATTTACAACCCATGCTCCAGAGATCTAACCACCCTCCTGCTTAGATCCGACCTGCCATCTCCCTTCAGTTCTAGACAGACCATTTCATTTTGGCAAGGAAAGAGTTCTGTCATACTGTCATGAAATGTAGTGTGATCATCTGATCTGCTAAGGGCTAATAGACACTGTTATAAGAAGGTTTCTTAAACATTGTTCCTCTTGTTTTTTTAATACACTGTTTGTTTGCCTTTGATTGATACCGTCATTGAATATAGTCTATTTTAAAAAAAAAAAGCCCTGCTGTTCATGGTCTTCCAATGTTTAGCTGAATTGTTGAGGCTTGATTCTGCTTGAAAGACTCAGTTGTAGCTACTCATTGCTGGCTCAGGTACTGTTGATCCGGGCAGCATGAGGCTTTTGATTGAATTTAGATTGAGACCTTGTATGTCGTGCACTCTTTATTTTTAACTATAGCCAACCCACTTGAGAAAATCAGATACAAAAAATATATCAAGAAGCAGATGGCAGCTGCATTTGAGCAGAGCTAGGTACCTAAATGCAGCATTTTAAAATACTCTCTTGAATCCTGGTTTTTGTGCACTTAACAAGATCTGGAAAGATAAAGCTGCCTTTCCCCTCTTCCCCATATCAGTCACTTCCTGTGGCTTTTCCCTTTTCCTTCAGGATGAAGAACAGGAAGGCTTCTGGTTTTGAAGCTGAATTCTTTAACCCGAGTTTAGCTCAGTCAGGGTAACCAAAGCTAGTCAAATATAGAGCTAAACTGAAGTGCTGTCCACAATACTCCTGAAATGTTTTTATTATATAAATCCTATCCCAAATCAGGGTAATCCCCATTTGCTAGTCGTATTTAACGGAGTTATGTCTCAGGCCTTAGAGACATGCTGAATGTCTTTCTTACAGTGTGCAGCACTGCGGCTTTAATGTAGCCCATTACTGGTAATTAGACATGGTTTGTAACTCTTGAACTCGTGGCATTACACGTGGGGAAAAAAGCTATATCCCAGCATCAAATCAGGTGCATTATTGTGGTGGGAGATACCCTCCTTCTGCAGAATGGAGGGGTTTACTCTGCGCCAGCCAGGCTCCATTAAACTCCACCTTCTTGAACCATTGCCCCCATTATTTTTGATGGTTTTGAGCTTGTTTTCCTTTTACCAGTTGGTGCCACAGATAAGTTATTTATCATCTGTGTTGTGGTAGCACCTAGAACCTACTAGTGAAGGATCAGGGCCCTGTTGCGTTGGGCACTGTACACAAACACAATGAAAAGATGGCCCCTCCCCGAAAGTGTCTGTTTAAAACATGTTTAAACAGTCTGTTTAAAACATACTTATCCACTCAACATACTTGATGTATCCATGCAGCATTCATCGGCTCTGCCAGCCCAGGGAGAGCTTGAAAGCCATTTTCACCAAACCTTGTTCGCCCAACAACAATTTATTTGTTTGTTTTTTGCCAAACCATTCTAGCAGTTTAGACAAGTGTTCCGCTTGCCTATGCTATTTCTAGGCTTGGCAGAATTCACTTTTAAAAAAATAATTTCAATGGATAATTCAACCTTTATCTTTAAGCATTTTATTTTTATTTTTATCAATTTAAATTTTCATAGTTGTGGGAAATCATGGTAGGGGTCAGACAATTTAATGACAGTAGATGTTACTATTCAAAAGTTTAAAGCTTTATAACCAATAAAATACCAATTGTCAATATGTCAAAATGTACAAAGTAAATATCCTTAAATCAAACTTTAATACGTTCAAGCAGCATTTTTCTTACTTTGCCTCTCTGTATACTTTGGTTCTTATCAGTGGAAATTTTTTTTTTTTTTTTTTTTTTTTTTTTTGTCGTTTGTGTGTGTACAGTGAAGTTAAAGACAAGATGGGTGAGGTAATAACTTATTGGACCGACGACTTCTGTTGATGAGAGAGACAATCTTTCGTGCTTACATAGAACTCTTGTTCAGGTCTGGGAAATGTACTCAGTGTTACAAGGTGGAATAGAATAGATTGCATAGCATAGGTAGTTAACTCATATTTCAAGGGACCATTCAAGGTGAAGTGGCCTGTTAACATATTTCCAGTCATAGAAGGAAAGTGGAGGGGCGGGGCGGGAGGGAGATAAATGTGTTACAGATTGTTGTAATAAGCTATAAATCCAGTGTCTTTGTTCAGTCCATTGTTTTTAGTGTCTAGCAAAGTTATTAATTTAAGCTCCCAGGCTTGTCTTTTGAAGGAGCTGTGCCAGGTTTCCTTTGAGGATGAGGGCTGAGAGGTCAAATATAGAACAATCACTTTGTGGAAAGCATTTACCCACAGGTGATAGGATGTTTCTGTCTTTATCATTTTTCTGTGTGAGTTCTTTGAGAGCGTAGTGACAGTCTCGTTTCACCCATATAGTTGTTGTTGGGGCATTTAGTGTACTGGATGAGGTACATCACAAGTTGTGATAGGCATATGTAGGACCCATGGATCTTGAAAGTTGTGTTTCAGGGGGGTGTTGATTATCATAGCAGTGGAGATGCATCTACAGGTTTTTCACCTGTTCTGGCAGGGTCTGGTGCCGCTTTGAATTGGTGTGTCCTGGTCTGTGGGGAGCTTGCTTCTGATGATGAGCTTGAGGGGTTGTTTGAAGGCCAGAAGAGGGGATTCAGAAAAGACTTCAGGATGTGGTCCCCATCGAATGTGGGTTGTAATTGTTTGATGATTTCCAGTGTGGGGTGGTAGGTGACAACTAGGAGTGTGCGTCGAAGGGGGTTTTATTTCTATATTGAAGCAGGTTCTCCTGGGGTATTTGGGGGGCCTGTTCCATGATGCAATCTACTTCTCTGATGGAGTGTCCTTGATTGGTGAAGGCATTTTTAAGTGTGTTATGGTATATATCCCAGACTTCCTTTTTGGAGTACATTCTGTGGTATCTGAGTGCCTGGTTTCTTGGTGTTTTTGGGGTGGTTACTGGATTTGTGAAGGTAGATGTGATGATCCATAGTTTTCTTGCTTATAGTTGTTTGTAGGGTTCCATTGCTGAAGCTGATTGTGGTTTCCAGGAAGTTGATGCTAATGTGGGATTGTGGATTTATGGTTTGTTCCAACAATCCTTCCACTTAACCCCCCCACCTCTATTCTTTTTTTGTTTTGTTTTCTCCCTTTCCTCTCTGTGACTAGAGAGGTGTTAACAGGGAGGAAAGGGAGAAATTGAATGGTCCCTTGAATTATGACAATCTTCTCCACTTCTGTTTAGCTCTGACACTGAGTACCTTTCCCAGACCTGAGGAAGAGCTCGAAAGCTTGTCTCTCTAACCAACAGAAGTTGATCCAAAAAAAGCTATTGCCTCCCTCACCTTGTCTCTCTACTATCCTGGGACCAGCATGGCTACAACACTGAAAACAGTGAAATTGATATTTACCAACCATCTAATCCTTTCAAGCCTACCCTATTTCCTACCTCCAGTAGCACTGAGGATAAGAGAGGGGATACCCCTTCCCAGAGAGCTTTTGTAGAAGTCTGATGCTTTACTCTTAAGCTTGCTCTGAAGAGATCTTTCCTACCAGACAATGTTCCATGTTTTTTCACTGTTAACTTGAAATGCTGGGGTCATCTGTAGCATTTGATTAAAACTGGACCTTGTACTTCGCTCTACTTGAGGCACTTTTGTTTCTCTGCAGTTAAGAACTTGGGTCTCTAATTAACTTGCACCTTGTCACAGATACAGTCTGGCTCTCCCTGCTGTGAAGGGAATCCACACCTCTGGATCCCCAGGTACTTTGAGTTTCCATGGCTCTCAGCAGGTTGCATTGTTTCTTCCCTTGGCCTTTCTGACACATTCCCTGGGCACCGACTATGTCTGCTACCCCTTCATGGAAATAACGCCTCTCTGCCCACCTGCTGTAGGCCCCTAGGACCAGTACTGACCCCTGGGTATATTAAACGCACCCTCTCTGTGTTCTACCCGACAAGGCGAGCCTTCTGGTTTACCTTTCCAATGGGTCCCGTGTGAGTTACAACACACAACACTATTCAAACACTGTTGTTCTTTAATAGTCTGAGAAATACACAGATTACAGATCATACAGAAAACAACAAATATGCTGAATGCAAGCCACTCGCTAGCTCACCTTTGCTCGGTGTCCATCTATGTTCAGGAAAGTAGGCAGGGACCCCTGCTTCATCAGGCTCTCAATGCTGGGTTGCTTCTCTCTTCTCTTCCAGTGGAGAAAAAAGTCCCCCAGAGTAGAGCAGCTCCTGCCCTTTTATAACTTTCAGCCCCCCTTTGTCAACCCAGCCACATCACACAGGGCTGTGAAACATCCACATCCACACCTCCACTGTAGACAGTATTAGGTCAATGAAAGAATTCTTCCATCGACCTGCTCCCACTAGGATTACCTCTCCCTTGGCGGAGGTAATGTCTACAGTGAAGCACTGTTGCAGCTGTACCACTGTAGCGTTTCAAGTGTAGGCCAGCCCTCAGATTCCTCAGGTGATCAGATCCCTGCCAGTGACTTCATTGCCCATGTGACCATCTCCCCAACTTCAGATTAAAAAAAACCAGTTTGCTCTGGGCAGCAGCCATCTCCGTATCATTTAGATGGAGGATTATCAATGTTTAATGACTCTCTTATCAGGCCTTTGCCGCTACACGTTGGAATTTCAGAACAACAGGAAGACAACAGTGAAGACGACGACTAGCCCTTTATTTGAAATGGAGTTTGCAGCTTGGTAAAGATACAGAGTTCATAATCTGACAATGAATTTATAAAGTGTACAAGCAAATTCCCCAGATCATCACTCCTCTCTAGGTCTAAATGTTATGTGGCATTTAGGGACAAATTCCTCTGAAATTTTTGAAAAAGCAAAGTTACAGTGTAGATTAAAATGATTAAATTAGCTTATACCAGCCAAGAAACTGCTCTCGGCCATTCTTATTGCAAAACCTGTGCTAACTAGTGTTCAATTGACACTCCTCTCCCCTCACCAAAAGGGTCGAACTTTTAGATCCCTGCTCTTATGGGCTCGTTAAATGGAAAGAGTTCTTCATTCCTTCCCTGTCGCTGCTAAGCTGTTTGCTGACCGTGAGCGGCCCTCCCCGGGTTACTGCTGCTCTGAAGCTCCTTCTACTAGAATTTGAGGTATATGCCCTGCGGTGCAGGAGCAGCTACCTCTGCACAGACCCTTTGGGTGGAAAAGCTACACATGGAGTTAGAAAGAAGGTATGTCTTTTTATGTATTATACGAGTGCCTTAATTCCTCCTCTCTCCACCAGTGGGATAGACACACGTCTCATCAAGAGAGTAACTTCTAGCCACCACCCACAAGGACTAAGGCCTGGTCTATGATACAGAGTTAGGTTGATGCAAGACCGCTTGTTAACTATGGAAGCGGCTACACTTAAATTTCGCTCCTGCCAGTGTAACTGCCCAGTTACGCCAACTTAATAACTCCACCTCCACGAGCGGCGTAAAGTCAAGGTTGATATAGTTAGGTTGACGCAGAGTCAATGTAGATGCTGCGTTGCTTATGTCGACTGTTACAGGCTTTCAGAAGCCTTCCTGCAATGCCCCCCACTAACAGTACAATCAATACAAGCACTCCTTGTGAGGACGTCCACCGCCGACACGAGCAAAGTGTAGACATGTATGAGCGATGTAATTGCGGCGGTGGCTGTGTGCTGATGTAAGTTAGGTCAACTTAATTTTGTCGTGTAGACATGGCCTTAGTAAACTTCCCCTACCCCACACACATCCATAAAATATTAACACCTTTAATGAGAAGCGAAGTCTGCCTTTTTTAACAACTGATGGGTGGGTATGTACTAAAAAAAACGAAGCCAGTCTGTTCTGTAACCGTACAGGGCACCCTGATGGCTAGAAACTCGCCCTGGAGATACTCCTAGGGTGGTTCTTAATGAAAATGACTTTCCAGACCATGATTTAAATGTTAGGAGCCACTTGTCATCTTCAGAATGCTTTACAATAATTCTTACACTGTAGATGAGGTAGGAAAACCTTTTTCTGACTCTCTCTTTAGAAAATGGAAACTGAAGCACGTAACTGCGACATGGCCAAAGTAGCAGAGAGTGTTCCTGGCAGATCCAGATTTAGTACTTGTGACTCCAGTCCTGTACCTGGTGCCTATTTTCAATACTTAGTCATCTTTCTGTCAAGTATTGTTTACGTAGCTCTGGAGCTGACTGCCAGGCCAACGCCTGCGCTTTTGCCTTAAACACCTTAAAGGCACAAATGATGCACCCCAGAGCAACAGGCATCAGAACAGGCAGCGTTGTTATGTGGGAAGGGAGAATGTGCTGCTGTTTCTGTTTAATGGAAAGGGTTTCTGTCTTAACAGCGAGGGTAGGAATGGAATGATGACGATGAGCAAAATTCTCAAAGTGCTTAAGACTCCCACTGTAAGTCACTTTGCTTAAGTTCCTTTATATTCCGCTGAAAGAGAACTGAATGACAGCTAGTGTACATTCATTTGCATTTACAGTAGTGGCTAGAGTCTAGCTGGGTGAATAATTCATTTTTCAGTTGGCTGTTCTGATTTAAAAAAAGGGTGGGGGAGGGGCGCTGATTGAACTGAATTTGAAAACTGAAAAAATGTTGCTGAACTGAAAAAATCTGTTTTGGGTTCAATGAAGCACGTCATTTGACCTGAAACAAATGTTTTTGGACATTCTTAAAGGGCTAGATTCACACAACAAACAGAAGAAGAAGAGGTGGTGATACCTTTCTTCTGTTTTGTGAATGGCATCTAAGCCGGAGGGGGCGATCATGTGAATTGGGGTTGATCAGTATTGCATTTTTTCAGCAAATAAATTGTGTGAAATATTTTTGCCCAGCTGTAATCTAGAGCATCTAGATCACATCCCCTTTGTGCTAGGTGCTGTACATACATAAGGAGATGGCCTCTGCCCTGGAGAGCTTACAAACTGAATAGACTAGACAGTGGTCAAAAGGAAGTATTGTCCTCATTTTTACAGTTGATTAACCGAGGCACAGAAAGGTTAAGGGACTTGGCTAGAATCACAGGGGAATGTTTGGGAGGAGCTAGGAATTGAACCTCGATCTCCGGCTTCCCCATCCATTTTTCCTCTCACTAGTTATTTGTGGAGCTGCACGTTTGTCATGGGGGTGGGTGGGAATCAGATGCTGTGTTTGGTTTTTAATCCATTGATCCATGATGTCTCTGGGAGGCCTCAGGGCACAGGCGCCCCACTGCAGGGTGAGTGTGAGATGGGGTCACTCTGCAACCTCCCCCAGGGTCTCCCAGCCTTTGGGGGTAGGCCCAATCCTTCCCCAAGGGCCTTCCATCCCCTAGGGGCAAGACCCAACACCACCACTCTACAGTGACCAGACAGCAAGTGAAAAATCTGGATGGGGTGGGGGGGTAATAGGGGTCTATATAAGAAAAAGACCCAAAAATTGGGACTGTCCCTATAAAATCTGAACATGTGGTCACCCTACACCACTCTGACATGTCCCCCTGGTGACTTTTAACATTTCTTCCTAAACCTGAGACTTTTAGTAAATGTACTGTGAGCTCGCTGTGATTTTTTTTGTTAAAAAAACACCATGACAAATCTGCAGCCATGTTATTTGGGGGCAGGAAAACCCTCCTGGCTTCTAGGAAGGAAGAGACCCCAGCGTGGAGTCAACATTTTCCACGTTATCCATTCCCAGTAGGAGAGGAGTATACGAACTCATGGTGAACGTCGAACTCCCAACTTTTCCCCGACGGCCATATTTCTTCCACTTCTCAATGCAACTGTAACAGATTAATATTGATACAGGCATAGTTAACAAGCTATGAGAGAGCCTCCCACCTTCAGGAAATGAATCAAGTGAGAGAACTAAGATTTATATGACTTTTTTGCATATTTCTTAATCTTCAGGGTTAAATTTTAACAAGGTCCTGTTGTCTGTGAAGGGTTGCCTCTCATTATGCAGGTCCTAAATTGACGATCCAAATTGTGAGCCATTAGTTTAACCCCAGTGGTGCTGAGTATACCACATATTGGGTAGCCAAGTAGGCATGTTTTCTCCAGGGTACCCTAGGCTCATCTTGCCTATCTACAACATGTAACTCAATGGACTGGATGTTCCGTACCAAACTGTATCTGGAGTGAATTTATATTTTGGCAGCAGTGAAGCAGTTAAATGTCACCTCTGTTTGCTGCTCTAGTGCTTAAATAAGTTCAGAAGGGGGAAATGTTCAGTGCGTTTTATTTTGGATTGAACATCTAAAGTTGCTACGTTAGGGGCTTGTTCACCCATGGAATAAGTCCATATACCTACCATTGACAATGGCTAGGCAGTGCTGAAACCCCTGCTTATTACATCAGTCAGAATAATCTCACTCCCCCATTTGTTTTCTCACCCGATACATAGATGATAAACTCTGTGGGCGGGGCGGGGGTCATATTTTTGTTAGGAATGTGCACGGGGAGGGGCTGATCCCTCACTGGGGGCCTCTTGGTGCTACCACAGTACAAATAATGGGAGTTCTTTGCCCACTGCATATAAGCAGTTTTGTTATCTGTTGTGTGTCACTGACACAAACCAGGGCTAGTTACTGTCATGTCTGCACAGACTGTTCTCCCATCCTGCCTCCCACAACCTGGCCCCATTACGTACCAGTTAACGATGGTGTAGTTGATGATAAAGAGGAGGAGAGCACCTATATAGTGCCAGCTGAAGCACATGGTGAGGAACATGATGTTTTCATGATCAGTCTGGTCCCAGCCTGGCCCTCCCCGTGGTGGGTACAGCACAAACCCGATCTAGTTAGAATAAGTGGTGATATGATGAGCAGGCCAGCTCCTCCAACACCCCATCCTCTCCTTTATTACACAGCTTCAGTATCAAATATGGATGCACTGACCAAAGGCTCCCCATTGTACTCTAGTGTCTGTCTAGGAGATTGCACTTCTTTTGTACCTGTGCCTTCCTGCAGATTTGCACACCAATTTTACCTGCTGATGAGACTGTTCTAACGTGCTGTCTTGGGACTGCCATTGGAAACCATCCAGACACTTCAAGGAATGCAGAATTTGCTTAGCGACAGACTACAATGGGTATATTGCACTGGGTCCTTGTGTGCATCCAGGTGAAATTTCAAGTGTGTTTTTAATCTGCAAAGCCCTATGTGGTTTGGGTCCTGGCTATAGAGACAGCCCATCTGGGGTACTGACGTTAGTATAGTAATAGGAGAACTATCTAGTTTTTCTTTATCGTCATAATATCCCTGTGAGATAGGGAGGTATTAATATCCCCATTTTACAGGTGGGGAGTTGAGGCACAGAGACACTAAGTGACTTGCCCAAGGTCACGCAAGTAGTCTGTGGCAGAGCAGGGGATTGAATCCACGTCTCCCAAGTCCAAGGCTGGCACTTTAACCACTAGCCTATCCTATTTTCCCGATGCACCAGCTGGTCAGCTGAGATCATCTGAGGTTTGTCCTGACTGTCCTTACCTTTGAATTTAGTCAGAAGGGGGCAGGACTTAGGTTCTAATCTCTGGAATTTGCTCTCCCTGCTTGTCTGACAGAGCCCAAGGCTGCTGACCTTGAGAGCACAGTGCAAGACTTGCTTGGCTTCTAGATGAGTCCTGATTCTATTAAGTTGTGAATGCAACAAAATGACCAACATTCCCAGGCTCAGCCGCTCTTAGTCTTACAAACGTGTGTCTGTGGTTTTTTTCTACCAAATCGGAGGTAAAGTTTTAAGAACCATGTGTACAATTATAACCTGGAGAGAGAATTGCTGTAACCCGGAGAGCTGTTAGTTGTGCTGGTCCCAAGATATTAGTCAATCAGGCTGAAAGTACAGAGTAAGAATTACAAACCTGCAAGAACCAGGATCCTTGGAGAAGGAACATGGTAGTCCTTAAGAGCTCCAAGATTGGGTGATCTCGCATGAACACTTCCAGAAGGGAGCAGAGGGCACCACCAAATATGGCAATGAGCATCAGTGAGTGGATGTGCTGATCCAGCGCGGGGCGGTGATGGGCATGAAAATAAAAGAGAAAACCTGCCAAAATTCAAACCAAATCGTGCTAATACTGCTTAAATGATTAGTGAAGAACTGGATGCGAAGAGCCAACCAGTGACCCTGGAGCCTAGGCTGTGATTGATTGAAGAAGAAATGTTCCCTACTTTGGGCACATGCAACTGCTTTTAAAGGACAAGGTGCCTGCTACGTATTTGGGTCAGATAGTGCAGATCACAGAGAGGACCTATTGTTCTGAAAGGAGATGTTGCCGCTTAAAAACTTGAGGCAAGCAAGTAAAGGAAGAATTTCTGGGAAAAGCCAGGTCCTATTGTCCAAATGAGTATGAGGCAAACAGTCTGTCCCCAGTTGACAAGGCAAGTCACTGATAAGTGACTGTTGGTAAGTCAGGTTGTGTGAAGTACCTTTCTTCCTGTAAATAACTGATTGTTCTGAATCACACTGTTTTGGAACAGAGCTTTGTCTCTCTTTTTCTTCTAGTGCTGATGCCTGAGTTTCTGCCCATTCTTTGAAAATGTCTCATTCCCTCTTTTTTTTCCTTTTGACAATGAAACTATGCCCATGTGCCCAGAGGTTTTCCAAGATTCTCTCTTAGCCATTGATTTGAAACAACGAGCCAAGAGCCTCCCCTGAAATGAAAATCTCAAGTGAATAATTTACAAATGTGAAGGATTTTATAATTATTTAAGCCACATAGGCCTGATCTACACTTAACATTTAAGTTGACCTAGCTCCATTGCTCAGGGATGTGAAAAAATCCACACCCCTGAGCACCATAGTTAAGCCAACCTAATCCCCAGTGTAAATGCGGCTAGGTCGATGGAAGAATTGCTATGCGGGGGGTGGATTACCTACATAGACAGAAAAACTCCTTCTGTCGACATAAGAAACATCTATGCTACAGCCGCATAGCTGCAATTGTGCCTCTGTAGTGCTTGTAGCGTCGATATAGCCATAGTGTTACTGATGGATCTGAAGAGTTAACAGGATTTCGAAACCTATAAGACAAAGATCCCCAAACTGTGGGTCACACCCTCCTGAGGGAGGCACAGAGGAATGTTTGGAGGGTGCGGTGGGGCCTGAGCCAGTTCCCACAGAATGGGGAGGGAGCACCACCCTGCTCCCATCTCAGCTGCGGCTGCAGCCTGGCTGCTGTTCTGCACCTGACCCCGGTCCCAGCCCATGGCCCTGGCCCTGCCCCCAGCTGCAGTCCTGGCCTTGGCTCCCTTACCCTGTCTGCATCCCCTCCCCCCGGGAGCCCCAGACCCACTCCCGGCCCCAACTTGGGGGAGGGGAGCACGGACAGGGGTAAGAGGGGGCGTGACCCTAAAAAGTTTGGGGACCACTGCTATTAGAGCTTCTGACTCATCTGTTACCTTGGCTGCCGCAGCCTTTTGTCAGTAGTGCTGTTGCTACTAACCTTCAACAAACAGCGCCTGGGAGAGCATGAAGCGATCCAGCCCTGGGGGCAGCCCAAGTGGGAGGGAGATGAGAATATCCACTAGGCCAGCGAGGACATAAGCAAAGTACATGGTTCCATGTGTCCAAGTCAGCAGGTCCACCCAAGTGTGATCCTGGGCGTAGAGATGCAAATGGGGGCCCTCGGGAATAAACTGTCCAGCAAGAATCCCTATCCAACAGGAAAAGGGCAGGTGTGAAGGGAGAACAGGATCCAAGTCACTGAGAAAGCTATTAGCGTTTAACCACCTTTCTGCTCTAGGTTTGGCATGTAGGCGAGTCAAGGATCAGAATCCAGGCGCTGTGCAAGGATCCCCTTACCCCAGCCTTCCAGCTCTGCCTGTGGCGCCCCCCTCTCTCCCCCTTTGCCCTGTTGTGGTACAGGGAGGCAGGTGCAGCTGCGACAGAGGTAAGTACTTTATCAGTATTAACCTAGATGTGACATGGAGTCTGCACTACTGCAGAGCATAGTGAGATCTCTTGTCTTAAGTCTGCAAACGTTTTACGGTGCATCTGCCTTCTTTTAGCTTCAGAAAGATCTATTACTATTCAAAAGCCCAACACAGCCTAACTACGAACTTTAACTGGAGGACAGGGCAGGCTATTGGAGCCTGTTGAGCAGATCCTGCCTGCTTTCCCATGGTCTATACGTAGGGCCCTACCAAATTCACGGTCCATTTTGGTCAATTTCACGGTCGTAGGATTTAAAAAATCATAAATTTCATGATTTCAGATATTGAAATCTGAAATTTCACGGTGTTTGTAATTGTAGGCTCCTGACCCAAAAAGGAGTTGTGGGGGGAGTCACAAGGTTATTGTAGGGGAGGTTTCGGTACTGCTACCCTTACTCCTGCGCTGCTGCTGATGGTGGCACTGCCTTTAGAGCTGGGCAGCTGGAGAGCGGCTCTGAAAACAGCGCCGCCACCAGCAGCAGCACAGAAGTAAGGATGGCCTGGTATGGTATTGCCACCCTTATTTCTGCGCTGCTGACAGCAGAGCTGGGCCCTCAGTCAGCAGCCACCACTCTCCGGCTGCCCAGCTCTGAAAGCAACAGCGCAGAAGTAAGGGTGACATGGTATGGTATTGCCACCCTTACTTCGGTGCTGCTGCTGCTGGCGAGGAGCTATCTTCAGAGCTGGGTGCCCGACCAACAGCCGCCGCTCTCCGGCCACCCAGCTCTGAATGCAGCGCAGAAGTAAGGGTGGCAATACCGTGAACCCCCCCCCCCCCAAGTAACCTTGCAACCCCCCTGCAACTCCCTTTTGTGTCAGAATCCCCAATTTGAGAAATGCTGGTCTCCCCCGTGAAATGTGTATAGTACAGGGTAACCGCATACAAAAGACCAGATTTCACGGGGGAGACCAGATTTCACAGTCCGTGATGTGTTTTTCATGGCTGTGAATTTGGTAGGGCCCTATCTATAGGAGAAAACTTATTTGGTGCTTGTTATTCTGATCGACAAGTGTGGGTGCTGACACATCGGGCAGCTGGGGGAATGACACACTGCTACTAGCTGAAAGGAAGGTAATGAGCTCCAATCCTTACCCGCTAGAGCAGTGATAACTTTGCCCATCCCTTCCAGGAGCTCCAGATACTGGTACCACTTATTTTTGCTGATGTATTCATTCTCCCTCTGCATGAGATACTTGATGGGGTATTTCACAGACCACAGGACCCCAACTGCCAGGAAGTAGCACCCTGGCAGGGCATGACCTTCAAAGTTTTTCATCCCTGAGTGTCATGAAAAGAGAAAGCAATCAGTGTTCATGCTGGAAAGCAAATGAGGTTTTCTGATGCTCTTAATTATACAGGTAACTGTGATTTGTATTGTATTATAGAATTTATAACTAGCCAGCAAAATGAGCAATTCTTCCCAGCCTATTCATAAAGGGCTGATTGTTTTTTTAAAAGTCCTGAGCACCTACAGATCCTGTTGATTCCTTTACCCACCCAGGTTTGAAAATTTGACTTCAATAATCAGGATTTATTGTGTTTATAATATTAATTCCCACCTCAATCTTTTCTTCTTTTTCTGAGATCCCAGGTAGGTTTCCAGCCACCATGATCATAGAGAGTAAAATGTCACTGGCTTTGGAAAGGATTGTATTTAAAATAGTTTATGGGGACTTTGGCTCTGAAGCCAGAATGGGGTATGGCTTTGCAGGTGGCAATTATTTCATGAGAAAGAGGCTCTTACGATGGCTTGTATTATTATTATTATATATTATAGCCAGTGTAGGTAGGACTGTGTACAGTTAAGGTTGTCCCAACACTTCCTGTTTATAAGACCCTGTTTTCAGTTGCTTATAACTTTGCCAGACGTTACTAGTTTGAGCTGAAATTTCCCATTTAGGTGTCTGCCTCAGGCAAAATTTTGGGGGGAAATTTCAGCTAAAACAGCTGGGCCATTTTTGAGAACAAGATTAGGAAAAAACACATTTTGTCCATCTTTTGAAAAAAAAAAAAATACTTTCAACTGTTTTGTTGAGAAGCTATAGTTCCCCCATGATTTGGAGCAAATACTTGAAATTTAGCGGGGTAGAGGTGGGTGGTGGCTATAGTGTCAGGGCATATGCCTTTGGGCATCCCTGTGAAAATTTATCCAAATTAGCCCAAGTTAGAAGTCTCTGGAAAATCTCTGTTCACACACACATGCAGCAGAGACTTGTTAGAGTCTAGCAACTAAACTCTCCAAAGATTTCCTCTATACAGAGCATGCGCCTTCTCCTTACAGCTCGTAGTGCTGAATAGACTATGTGTCGTTCCCAAAGAACCCACTGAGCATGCGTTGTCTTTGGGGCAGCCAGCTCTGGGCTGGACTTTCCCTTCAACTGCTCTTCAGCCTCTAGGGGTGCTGTGGTGCCAGGTACCAGAACTGAGAGCTTTTGTCCTTTTTTAGGGGTTCTTTTTACCTAGGCCAGGAGGAGGGGGAGAGAAAATTTGGCCATATTGTAAATCAGGAGTTTCCTGCTTAGGCAAGAAGAGCAATAGTCTTATCTGCCCATCTTAGTTTCTATTCTTGGAGAAGTGAACCCCTCACTCATCTGTGGTTAGACTAAGCCTGTACAATGTCAGCTGTTTTCTTAGGGTATGTCTACATATTTCCCCGAGGCAGGGAGTCTCAGAGCCCATATCTACAGGCTTGGGCTTGCGCTACGGCACTAAGAATAGCCGTGTAGACATTCCTGCTTGGGCTCTGAAGCCTGGGGCAAAGGGTGGGTTTCGGATCCCCAGTTCCAGTCCAACCCTGAATATCTACAATGCTTTTTATAGTGCCATAACATGAGCCCCTGTAGACCTGGCCTCAGAGACTCAATGCTGCAGGGTTTTTTTTATCATGTACACATACCCTTGTTGTCTTTACTTCCTAGGTGACGTTCAGGACTAGGTCGGTGGATCGTATTTTTGAGTAAACAGATGAGGATAGTTTCTCTGATTTTTGAGGGCCAGGAAGAATTAATGGTTATTATTAACCATTGCAGGCCTATTTTTCACCTGTACCTCTCACATTCCATTGGGAGGAAACCAATGAGGAGCTTACCAAGTATTTTTACAAAGAAAGACCCAGACAGAGAGCAAGCGCGTGCAAGTCACCCCGGAACAGCCAATAGTCTGCTGGCTACAGCACTCACCTGGGATGGTGGAAACTCTGGTGCAAGTCTCTTGTCTGCATCAGGCACCACAGAGACTTGAAGCTGGATCTCCCACAGCTCAGATGGGTGCCCATCCCTCCAAGCTATTGGTGAGTGCGCCTGTCCTAGCTCAAGGAATTGGCATTTTCCGTTGAAAAACCACTATCAAAAAATTCCCGATCCACTCTAATAATAATAATACCTCTGAGCAGTAAAAAAAAAAACCCCAAAAACTTATCTGAAGTTTTTATCAACTTATATTAATTTTCTAGCTAGCAGTTGTGAATTATATAAAAATTTCAAAACTACCCAGTAATGACGATCTAGCCTTGCTATTGTAATAACCACCTCAAACTCGTATGACTACTGTTTTGCAATGTTACGTATTATTTAGCAGAGATGATTATAGCAGCTTTTCTGAAGCTCCTTGGCCTCTGACTAGAGTTTAACCCATTAAAAAGCTTTTGTATTGCAAAGGCGCTATACAGTATTCTGCATATTCACCTCCCCACCCCGTCTCTCTCCTAGGGGTTCATTCAACAAGGTGGAAGTGTCAGATTCTTTTAGTTAACTTAATAACTTCAGTGATATTTCTCTTTCCATTATTTATTGCTTGTAAACCTGAAGCAGGAGGAGGCTTAAAGTCAGTTTTCCTGGAGATGGGGGAGTTTTGATGGATCCAAAATATTGGTCATACTCTCTGTATCTTCCACCACCACATAGATTAACTCTCTATTCTCATCCTCAACACTATCCATTTGCTTAGGGGCTTGAGGGAGACCCCCCCAAGAGACTTCGGGGAGGTGAGGAGAAGGCATGTAACTGCAGGAATCGCCGTGCCCCCAGACTCACTCCCAGGGTCTTTTCCCTCCCCAAGGACCTGCACTCCTACCAGCAAAGTCTGGATAACAGACCGCACAAAGCTTCGTGGTGTCCCCCTGTGACCACCTCTTTAACATCCAAATGATGCTGCCCCCTCTGATCCATCATCAGTTTCCAGTCTGAGTGGCCCGGCCCCACATAAGTACCTATGTATACAACTGATAGTTATAGTCCCCGTTGTGGGATGAGGAGGAGCCAAGAGGAACTTACCTGTGCTGCCTACGCCACTCTGCTCACAGTCTGTCCGCCTGGCTGCAGAGAGCAAGGTGCATCTGCCCCCTCTTAATCTCAGGATGCTATATGAGCTACGGCAGGCTCAGGGTTGTTCCCCTGGTAATAAGGTGGAGAATAGACAGGAGCATGAACATTCCAAATTTCAAAATCTGTGGGTGTTCGCTTCTTTTGCAACACCTTATCCATAGAACTGCTGAATCTTCTATAATCTCTTTCCCCACATTCATGGTCTTTGTATTAATGAGATTTCCTTACGTTGCTTCACCTCTCTGATTTAAATGTCACTTGAATGTTATAATTTTTTAATTAGTCTCTCATCCCAATTTTGCTTTGAGGCATAAAGGAAAAGTGGGGGAACACGTACGGCTTGTTGTTGTTTTTTAACCTTAGAAATACCAGGAATGGTGTTGGTGGAGAATCTCTGGGAGGTCTCAAGTGCTTTTTTAATTGAGTGGGCAGGGGAACTGAATCGTTAACAAATGTTAAAGAATCAAGGTGAGAAGAAAGTTTAAACAGAAACCGCTTGGGTAATTGGCAAACGTAGTAAGAAAGCATGGAAGAGAATGTGAAATTTGAGTATAATATTTTGCCTAGTTTGAAAGAGTTTTTAAAGCAAGACCTTTAAGACCTAAATATCAATGTGCTGGAAAATGTGTAGGAGGGGAGGGATAGCTCAGTGGTTTGCGTATTGGCCTGCTAAACCCAGGGTTGTGAGTTCAATCCTTACAGGGGCCACTTAGGGATCTGGAGCAAAATCAGTACTTGGTCCTGTTAGTGGAGGCAGGGGGCTGGACTCAATGACCTTTCAAGGTCCCTTCTAGTTCTAGGAGATAGGATATCTCCATTAATTTAAAACAGCAATCAAAAGCTAAGTTCTGTGATCAGCCCCATGATGTGGCATCCATGAGAGGCCTGTACAAAGGGCCCTCATTTTAGTGTGGACTGGGGCAAGATGTCCCCCTTGCTGGCCCTAGTTAGCATTCCCGGCCCTCTCATCCTAACCCTCCTGTCCTCTCCCCGAGCATGCTGCTCCATGTAGTAGGTCCTAGCCGGGGCTCGACCCTTCCGGGCAGGAGGGGAGCCACACCGACTCCCTACTATGGGAACAAGCAGTCAGTTAGTCCCGAAACTCCGGCTCTTTGGTGCAGAGTCGGAGCAAACACAGTTAAAGCTCAGGCCCTTGACTGCAGGGGCTGAGCGAGCAGTCAGTTCAGAGCCCAGGCCCTGGGTCAGGGCGGGGCAAACACGGTTAGCTCAGGCCCTTGTTTGCAGGGAGCTGAGCGGGCAAATAGTTCAAAGCCCAGGCCCTGGATCAGGGCGGGGCAAACACAGGTAGCTCAGGCCCTTGTTTGCAGGGAGCTGAGCGAGCAAATAGTTCAAAGCCCAGGCCCTGGATCAGGGCGGGGCAAACACAGTTAGATCAGGCCCTTGTTTGCAGGGAGCTGAGCGAGCAAATAGTTCAAAGCCCA